CTGTCGCTTCAGATACGAACCTATTTCCCAAACATGTACATTTCCCTCTCGGGCTTTTTTTCTTGACTGAATATGCATGATTGGTAGGCAATGAAAAGTGAGACCAAATGTACCATCTCATGTAAGAGGCCGTTTTTGCCTAGTCTCGCTTCTTACCCGAACTTTGACCCCTCGTCTGGCTCTCATGTATAAGGCGAAAGAATTGCTTGATCGACTGGCTTACCTCATCCGCTTTCGAGATAGGCGGCTTAGCTTCTTCCAGCAGATCCGACTTCTCGTTTTTGGTTGTTGAGGGATTCGTTTCGTCCGGATGGCTGTTTAATTTACTCAGTTGCACACTGGCCTCTGATAGGCGATTCTCGATGTTGGCACAGTTGTCGCGGGCCACAACCAACTCTTCGGCCGCAGCGGCTTTTTTGCGGGCAACTAAGTTGGCTTGTTGGCGAAACATTGATGCCTTGTCGCCAAGCGGGTCGGTAGCAAGCATGCGTTTCTCGACAAGCCGATTCACCTCGGCATTGAGTTCCTTTACCTGGACAAGACAAAAGGGATGGTACACATGAAAAGTCAGGCAAGTACACATGAAGGATAAATGAGCTACAACGAGCCTTCCGACCCAACATTGTTTTAGTGGATTTCATTTGGAATATTTGATTTTACTATAACCTTCAGATTGGGGCAGTCCATGTGACATACAAATGAACTATTTGACTCATGTCGGTGTTCTTTTTATTTTGTTTCATTAAATATGAATATAATTATTTGGTTAGTTATTCTAAATTTCATTATAATTGCCTGTATGTTTTTGTATGTGTGTGTGTGGATGTACAAGTCAGGGTACTGAAGCATAAGCCATAAGTCTGAATAATGGCAACAGGGCATAATTTCAGTTCAGAGTCATCAAGGTTTCATGAGTAAAAAAAGGCATGACCGAAAATGCATAATCCTAAGTGCGCGTCTGGTTGAGATGATGAACTTCAAGAGCATATCGGCCAGATTTGGATAATCACTGATCTGACCAGTTAAGTCGACTACAATTTTTGGATGTCCAAACACTCTCAATCTCTCCTTTTGGTCTAGCGATCGAGCAAAAGTAATTTATATTTTGTGCATAAGTGTGTTTTCGAGACTAGCAGTAGATTAGATTTATGAGATGTATTCAGCTTATTTCGTTGAAAGAGATGAAGGACTAGTAGTTGAATTTTCCCATGATATAAGTAGACCTTACATTTCCATTGAAGCAGAAAGTATTATCAACCAAGGTAGACTGCAGTTTAGAACTCATATATACGATCCATTGGTAGTCTCGAAAACCAACTTATATAGGAAAAATATAAAGGAAGTCGATTGTTATATCAAATACAACTTTACTTGATTGACCATCCAACCAAAACATATGATCTGGAAAAAGGCCTGGCCTTCCATAGAATTCACATCTGACCTGTGACCTAAGGGAACTTGTGGCAATCTGGTTGAGAGGTCAACGTGTCAAGATTGTAGGCTACACTATCAAAAGCAGGGTTCGAGTCCTGCTGATGGTGCTGATGTGACCTAGCGAAGTGAAAACTGAAGTCCTTCACAGATTAGAATATCATCTGGAAAGCAAGGGTGTATTATACTTAATGGTCTACTCTTAGTATTATCGGA